GAGGAGGTCGGCAAGTTAGCAGGGGGTGGGGTAGGCTTCCCTGAAGAGGTGGGTTTTCAGGTGCGCCTAAAGGAGAGGAGAGTAGGTGATAATCTGATGGGTTGGGGCAGGGAGTTCCAGAGGATGGGTGACACCCTGGAGAAGTCCTGGAGGCGGACATGGGAGGAGGAAACCAGGGAACTAGAGAGAAGGAGGTCTTGTGAGGAGCGGAGTGTGTGTGCTGGGCGGTACTTGGATATTAGGTCAGTGATGTAGTACGAAAGATGTTTACATGCCTACTGTACATTTCATGCCCCAATTGAAAACAATAGTTTATTCACCAAATTGTATTAGCATGGTCAGTGTACTCCTTTCCCCTCCATTGTATCCTGAAATTGCCTATTGTATTGTTTTATACCCTTTAGATTCATCAATCACAATCTGTCAGTCTTGAGACATGAGATAGTACAAGGAGTAGTCATATTGGTGTCAACACCTAGTAATCAATCACATTTTATATTATTGCTGTCATATTCATTATTTTGGTTGGCGCTAAGGTTTCTGCATTTGCACTTTGCTCTAATATATTGCTTTATGGAACAGGTCCACTGGACACAGAGGACAGTCCCTGTGCAAAAGAGGACACTTGTGAAATATAAAGTGCCTGCACCGTCAAAACTAAGGAGGGATACAAAAAAGCTAATATATTGTTCATTTGTTTGTTTCAGTCATCTTCAATAAAGCATTTAAAAATGTTTTAGAGGCAGTGTTGATAGGCTTTGGGCTTGTGTCAATGACATCAGTTTGAGACACTTTATTGACATTCTTTGATAGGTGTATTTGACTTGCAGCTGACCTCTTTCTGGCCTGCATTTGACCTTCTTTAAGCCAGGGGGATACAAAACCCACTTCACACAAGCAAAAGCCCACTGACACAGGTTAATATTGTGTTATGAATGTCATGTAGATTTCGGTTTTTCAACATTTTTAGGTTAAAGGTCCAAGACTCTTTTTACTGGACACCAAAAGAAGACCCGAACAGAATAACTGTCCTTGTAATGATATAAAATTGATCATGGTGTCACATTTTGGTTTAGGCCATGAGGATGTTTACTAAACTCTTTTATAGTTGATCCTGTTTTCCCAAGTTACTAACTAAAACCTTAAATAGGAGCGAAAAATAGAGAAAAATATACTTGTTGAACAGGTTTAATGGCAGTAAGTAAGGTTGAGTTCACTAGATGTGAAATAAGACTTCATTGCAGCAGGGACCATACTGTAGAAGGCTGTTTTACCATCTAATTCAACAAAGTGTTCCTTCCCTTTCTTAGCATAGCTTTAGTGTCATGACCTGCTTATTGTGGTCATAGTGTTCTAGGACCTCAGATCTTTATTTCAGTCCCATATATCAAACAGGTACTTTTTAAAGTGATGCAGTCACTGTGTCACACAAAGGTGAGAATAGATTACTTTTTTAGTTCAATGAACAACTGTGCCTATGGCTTATACAGTAATGTCATTCCCGTCACATTTTCTACACTTAGGGTTCTGTTCCTCCACAGACAGCTTCATGTACATATCGGCACACAAATCCTTGCGTCCCAGCTGGCGGTATTTCATCCACATCCTTCAGCTAAAGATCCTTCACAGGTCGATCATCTCCATCCATGTGTCTTCTCTTAGGAGTGACTAGCACCCAGAAGAGTCACTCATTGGTACCAATCTTCCTATCTGTGGATTATTCTCCACAGTCGTTTCTCACACCTTCAGTCCCCACAGGAAGACTCACTCCCAGAAACTGCTTTTTTTTTTTTACAAAACATTACTTTTTTACTGATTGGCTGGCCTAGGATCTCTGCCTTCAGTATGTCTTTTTGATGGAACTTCATAGCATCATCTATACTGTTCCAGGATTTGAAAGTTTCCTGAATAGATCAGGAGGGCACAAGCAGTTTCCTTGATTCCATATAGTTCTACAAAACATTGCTCCTTGGGTAACGAAGATGTACATACAATGTATACCTTGGCTATCTACTAACATGAGTATTACATATCTTGTAAAAAAAACTCTGGAAACATGGCTTACAGAGGAGCTGAATTCATAGTTAAAGAACATTAAAAACATATTGGAATTGTTGCAAAATCTATTTAATCATTTGGCTTGAATCCACTTAAAGGTGATAAACTGCAGCAAAATGTGAAAAGCTGACATCTAAAGGTATCTAAATTATGGTTATACTACTTGCAGATAACCTTGTGAACCTCAAGATTTAGGACACTTTAATATGCAAAGAAAAACTAAAGGTCTTAAAATTATAGTTAGACTCACCCCCTCCTACTTTCTGTGCATCACTATTGGTCAGCAAGGCTGCTTATTATAGTGATGAATCAATATGAACATACAAGAGCACCCTGGGTTTCAAAGCCTGCAGTTTAGCAACTGTAAAATAATTGCAAATTCACTTAATGTTTCTTTTTTAATACCTTTCTATTCCAGTCTGCAGCCAGCAGTGATTGACTGCAGCTGCCAAGAATACCAAGGTTTTGTTCCTTGCAACCAGGGCAAGATTTTGTAGTGGGGATTCCTATAATTCCCTTCTTCCCAAGTATGAATTATAGACATTGCCAGCAGTGACCTTAGTTTTACTTCACTTGAGAATATCATGTTTTGTAAAGGCCCACACATCTAAGGGTGGTGTAGATAAGCACATCCAGTGGGCTTTCATGCTTGCATTTAAGACCAGTTTGAGACACTTGTGAGTTCCTTCAGAGGTACTTTACAAATACTTCTTGCCATCTTCTGACCTCCTACTAAGTGACATCTAGTTCCTTTAAGCTGCTTCTGCATAGTATAGGGAGAAAAACAGTTCTGAAACAAAGAAATGCTCATATACAGAAGCCCTAAAGGTATGGGGGTGCATTCCTTTTTATTTACAAGACTAAAACTGATCATGGGATTACAGTAAAAGCAGAATCTTCAATCATAGCACTTCTCCATCAAGATGTCCAGAATGGTCTATCTCATTACAGTATCTACTGAACACAAGCAGGTAAGGTTCTATATAACATTTAGCAATATCCTTGCAATACATATAGTTGACATTGGGAGGATTGACTGGTTTCACTTTGTTACTAAAAAGCTTCAGATTGGATAGTTATTATATCCCAAAACTAGTCTGAAGGATGTGATATCGTAAGTAGTACTACAGCATCCCTGTAAGGTACTGAGGATCATCCATGTCATTGTTTATTGGTGATAACGTAGGACATTCACCTTATTTATAATACAGTACTAATAAAACAGCTGCTGTTTAAGGGATAGGCTGCAGTCAATAATAAACACATTGTGGTAGAAAGGTTTTCAAAAGACCACTTTTGACTACAAAAGTTTGTTTTCTTTGTGGATAGTAATTGTCTGTTCCCTGCAGAATGGGCTCAATGCCCTGCACCTTCCAGTAAAGAGGGTCATCTCAAAATGGTCAGCGAGCTGCTGCACAAGGAGATTGTCTTGGAGACCACCACGAAGGTAAAGGCAAAACAACGATCCTCTCTCTGGTCTTCTCTACTAAGTAGCTCACTGTCTTCTTCTGTGCATTTTCCACATCTCCCATGATTTCTTTCTTTGTATGCATATCTTACTGTCTCACCACCAATGTCCACTCTATAGGACCAAGTTAATCAAAGTGTCTAAAAGACCTGATCCATATACTTCCACTGGGAGAGGGCAACAGCAAAGCACCATCATTGTATAGTACTGTAGTAGGAAGCAGAGCCTGTATATGTAATGGGACAATATAGCTGCCCAACGTGCATAATATTAAGATTATGTGCTATATATATATATATATATATATATATATATATATATACACACACACACACACACACACACACACACACACACACACACACACACAGAGCACAGAGAGAGAGAGAGCCTAACATACTGTAAAAGACTATAGTTTCCTTTTGAGTAAGCATTAAGTCTATATCGGCTTACAGCTACCAAATAAATCTTTTGGGCTTGTATGGATGGGCATACTTTTTCTTGAATTGAAAGATTGCAATTTATTTCAATAGTGTAGTATAGATATCAGTTCTGGAGCTATGTTTGACCTGCTTAATTTTGTGTTTGTTTGGATGCAACAGGTCCTATTGAGCTACATTTCCATTGCAGGCTAAATAGGTAATACTCGGCTTTTTACAGCATTTTATGTTCAAAGGTGTTCATTTGGACAGCACTGTATTGAAATACAAAAGACAGCATGTGACAACACCAGTCTACACAGGCTCTTACACTGCACTCATCATTTTCAAGTGTAACTTAAATGTTAGTCATAGTGTAATATGGACATTTATTTTTCAGGCACTTTGATAAATGAGATCATTGTCTTCCTTGTGCATGTTATTGACCAATATTGTCATTTTGGTTATATAGAAGGGTAACACAGCCTTGCACATTGCTGCTTTGGCTGGTCAATTGGATGTGGTGCGGGAGCTTGTCAACTATGGGGCCAACGTCAACAGTCAGTCACAGGTAAAAACACTATACTGTTCTACATAAAAAAAGAATGATGTACAGTGCTATCCAATTTACTAGAAAACGTTTTAAAGTGGAATTTCACTCTCTCAATCAACACTAACTATATTTAATCCTCATGCTGCTAGCATTAGTAAATAGATAGGAAAGCATATCCTATTTACTTGTTTTAAACTTTTTTTTTTTTTTACATTTCTTCAGTTACTTCCTGGTTTCCATGCCTAGGCAAATGATGTCATGCATCCCAGGAGTCTTCAGGAGGGGAAGAGGGGTTTTCTTAGCTAAGCACACCCTGCTGTCTTCATGCCTGAGCTTAGGGCAGATGGATTCCAGGAAGTAAATTCTGCATGAATCATCTGCCCTTATTCAACATGATCGCTGCCAGAAATGATAGGGGGGTGTTTTTTCAAGTGACTTCTCAGCAAAAGAAAGCGTGGAAACATGGCTGGATGGGGGAGTTTGTTTTGAATATTAAAAATGAATTAACCACTTGCCGTCCGCCTGCTGTTTATAAACGGCAGTGCGGTGGCAGTGCAGGGGCGGGTTGCCGTTCATAAACGGCACCCGCGTTTTCTAGCTGTGCGCGCTCCCTGGGAGCGCGCAGCACCGCAATCCGGTGCCAGCTGTGTCCTCCGGACACAGCGAAACACCGATCGTCGGACGGGACCTCTGTACGAGGTCCCGATCACATGCAAGGTAGTAAGCAAGATGTCACTTGTGACATCATTGCTTACTACGTGTGAAATCTGTGAATGATCACAGAGGTCACATGGTACAAGGCTATTCACAACAGCCTTGTACCATGTGACAAGCTGTGACCAATCACAGCTCACTCAGTACTTCTCAATGACTGCAAGAATGCAGACAGAGAGAAAGAGAAATGATTGCTTTTACATCCTATATGGGTGTAAAAGCAATCAGTGTAAAAAAAAAAAAAAATCTTCATCACCCCCCACCAGTAGTACAGTGTGGATGTCACCATGGTGACACTGTACTGCTAGGGTGACAGTATGTAAAAAAAAAAATAAAAAAAATAATAATATAAAAAAATAAAATAAAAATGTAAAAAAATTTTAAAAAAAATTATACTTTTTGGTTATAAACTAATTTGGATTTTTTTTTTTTACTAAAAAAATAACGGAATTAATTTTGGCCAAAATTTATGATGAAATATTATTTATTTGCAAAATTTTATTAAAAAAAACACTTTTTTTCAAGATTTTTGGACGTTTTCATTTACATAGCACAAAAAATAAAAATCCCAGCGGTGAATAAATACCACCAAAATAAAGCTTTATCTGTCTCAAAAAAATGGTAAAAAATTCATATGGGTACAGTATTGCATGACCATGCAATTGTCATTTAAAGTGTGATAGCGCTGAAAGCTGAAAATTGCCCTGGACAGGAAGGGGGTAAAAGTGTCCGGACAGGAAGTGGTTAAACAGTTTTTGGTTTGTAGTGCTCAGATACAGTGAAGTTCCGCTTTAAGTTTGAGTGTTGAATGTATTAATATTGTTATCTCTTTCACTGGATAATAAATATAGAAACTATTATAAAAAAAAATAGAACGTTTAAGATATACACACTACAGGGGCTGCTTACAATATATAAATATCCAGTATACTAAATATCTGTACTGGTATATTTTGTTATGGTGTTCTAAGCATTTTTAGCACGTAAAAGGCTCACTTCACAAAGCCAACACATCAGGATAAGGATCACCATTTTCATAAAATTAAAAGTTTTTTTTCAACTGAGTCATAGAGAATTGAATACCACAGTCACATGGTTAAATAAAGATCCTTCTACTTGTTTTACTAGTTTAATCTAATTGAGCTTTTAAATTCTAACTTCAGGTTTAATAACATTTTTTGTTTTGGACCATGCTGCTAAAACACTTTGCTAATACATGTGCTTACTGTGAGCGCTCTGTAAACTCTGTAGCATCAGCTAGATACAGTCTACAGCGCTGTGTTCAAAACGTGGGACAGAGACTTCTGTCCCTGGAACAAAATGGAGTGAGGCCTGCTCGCTGATAAGCCAATAAGAGGAAGCTTTGTTTTATTTTTGTTTTTGAATGAATACTAGACTTTCTCTGACAGGCTGAGGTCGAGAAGGGGTGGTGGATGATGTTTGTACCACAAAAATGTCTTGTAGAGATGTCATTTGACCTTTGCACTGCTGTCTCTTGTTTGCAGAAAGGCTTTACCCCGTTGTATATGGCAGCGCAAGAGAACCATCTTCCCGTGGTCAAATTCCTCCTGGAGAGTGGAGCCAATCAGAACCTAGCTACAGAGGTTAGTGCTTTCTCAATGCTCAAGAACAGTAAGCATTGGCTAAATGTGCAGGTATGGATTTATATGTCCATTTGGGGCAGCACAATGGCTAAATGGTTAGTACTTCTGCCTGGCAGCATTAGAGTCATTAGTCTGAATCCCAACCATGACACCACCTGTCTGGAATTTACGTGTTCTCCCTTTGCATGCGTGGGTTTCCTCCGACGCTCCAAAGACGTGCTGGTATGTTAATTGATCTGTCTAAACTGGTCCTAGAATGTGAGTTAGGGACCTTAGATTGTACGCTCCTTAAGGGTTAGGGACTGATATGGATGTACAAGTATATGTGTAAAGTGCTTCATAAATTGACAGCACTATATAAATACCTGTAATAAATAAATAAATGTGTTTGAAACATGAATTGTCTCTAAGGCTCTATGTCAATTAACCACTTTGTTTCCCAGTGTACCTATCTCCTTAATTTTCTAACCTGTGATGGAAAAATGACAAATTAAACTTGATTGGTTTCCATGGGGCAACATTCTTCCTATTTTGAACAATGGAAAGCAATGTACACTTTAATATAATGTAGGAGGCCTCATGGTGCAATTATTTAATTAATAAGGCAGAAGCTCATTAGCTACAATCAGGCAATAATGGGACAAGGCTTGCTCTAATGCAATTGTGAAGTTTATTCCCACTAATTAGTACAGCTTGTATGTTCCGCATGACATACTTCTGCAGCTGTGAGCCACTGTAGGGTCAGTTCACAAAAATGTATGTGATATTGTCATTTTGGTGCATCATTTGGTGTTTTTTTTATGATCAAAAGCATAATTTCTAGTTTGCTAAACGTTTTATCACATGGATCAATTTACCAAATTCTTACAAAGGGTTTTTGTAAATTAAAATGCTGCTACCTTTTGGCTGAAATGTACTGTGAAATGTCTGTGAAAAATATAAAAATGGAGCCATTCAAGGTTTTGGTAAACTAACATTTTATGGGCTAAAGGAGTAAGATTAGCATTTTAATTCAAGTTTTATTATACTTATCTTAACAGACATGTTAAAAACCACTGCCCACCCTCTCTAGTCCACTAAATTGAACTAAGCTTGAATTGCCTACCCCCACTCCCCTTATTGTTTTTGGACTCAAGAAACCCCAGAAGAGGTGTTGCTGTCAGAGGCAGGTATGCACCTGGGTGGGGGAATTTTACCTTGTTAGGGGACTGGGGGGTGGACTGTTTTACTTTTTTATTTTATTAATTTAACTTGTACTGTAAACTGCAAGGCCGGCCATGCATGGGTTGATTTCCGAACTATTTTTTGTTCAAAAATCGGACCTAAGAATAATCGACCAGTTTTCACTCTGTTAGTGGGGCAATGGCACCGGCCGATTCTCATGGTTCCTCCCCATTTTTTTATTGGGCATGTTGGAAAATTCATAAAAAACAACCCATTTTCGAAATCATTGGTGGCACCATCGGATTACAGAACGAACAACGTTTTCGATTTTTGTTCGAAAAATCATTCGGAATTCGACCCATGTATGGCCTGCTTTACTATTATTTTTAACTAATTAACTAACTCATTCTTAATATCCCCCCTCATGCCTTTTGTACACATCTTAGATCAGCGTATAAGCAGCTCCAGGGCCAATATCCAGTGCAAAGCTCTAAAACTCTTCTTATGGGTTCTATGCATGCAATGCTTTTCCTTATAAGACCAAATGGAAATGCCATCCCATGTGGGTGGTGTATACGTATATTGTTTAAAGGGGACGAGACAAGCACAGTGGTTTGAGAGGGATGCAGGTGGGGTAGTGAGGCTGGGGGAAGGGTTAGTATGGGATGTATACAGACACAGTGGTAACAGCATGTGTGTGGGGGTTTAGAACATAGGAGAAGGATGGGGGGTACAGTTGCCACCTCATCCCTTTAAAACCAAACACATATTAATTACACAGGGTCTGTGGCTGATTAAGGTGATAATTCAGCTTATTTAGGTGTCCGTTTATGACACACAGAATAGCTGAGATTCAGAGGATCACAGCTATTCTCTGGTCATTCACAGTTTATGACACCCAGGAGAATATGTTCAGCCCTTCTCTGGAGATCTGTGTTCTCCCTCCAGATTCTCCAGCCCAGAGCTGGAGAATCGGAGGGACCGAAAACTAAGCAGAGATAATTTACCTCTGTTTAGTAAACTGATCTTTTACTGTAATCTCGCAAGATTATAGAAAAATCAGCCGTTTTCCAGCGTTTGTAGACCGTTCTCCCTTCGTTTGGAGAACTGATCTACATATGCTTCATAAACGGCATTCACAGGAGAACTGTGTTCTCCGAGAATGCGGAGAACGAGCAGCAATCTATTACTGCTGGTTCATAAACGGACACCTTAGTGCCTTATCTGCACTAAATTATTCTCAGAATTAAAAATTAAAATGTGGTCAGTTTTAGGCCTCGTCCACACCATACGTGCAGAAAAACTGATGGAAATTGACGCGCAGATTTCACTTGCAGAGACATCAGTTTAGATCAGTTTTCATGCATGCGCCAATAAGTTTTATAAATGTCGCAAATTCCTTGACCAGAAAAAATCTGCACATGAAAATAGTGTTGTGGTGTGAACAGGGCACATGGAGGACAACTGATTTTGCTGTGCCTTTGCAGAACGCTTGCAGAAAAACTGACGTCTCTGCACCTTGGTGTGATCGAGCTCTTAAAGTGAGGAGGTGGCAACCCTAGATGGGGGTCATGTGTTGTGGTGGGAGTGCTGGAAAAATGCTGAGAGAGATGCAGGCGAGGTGTTGACATGGGAAACAGCAGGAGTGCAGGAATGTTGATAGGACTGGGATGGGGACAGTATTCAGGGACAGGCACAGTGGTGAGGATGCAGGGGCAAGGGTGTGCAGGTGCGGTAAACAGAGTGGGAGCAGGGAAGTGCAGACGTGGAGATAAGGTGAGGGCTTGCAGGCATGGTGGTGTGAGTGTACAGACCTGGTGGTGTAACTAAGGCTGTGTTTATATAGATGGAGTAGGGAGAGCTTCAGAGGAAGGACTGGGGTTAGGCAGTGTGGTTGCGGGAGGGCACTGTACACGTTTGGCAGTGATAGCAAGGGAGAAGGGGGGGTGCAGGTGCAAGCTGGGCATGGTAGTTATGGGGGTGGGAGTTGTTGCTGACAAAATGGTGTTGGTGGGGCCCTGAGAGCATCAAGTGGGGCAGGGTAGGGGTTAAGAGTGGAGAAGAGAGGAGGGGGACTGGCTACCCACAACTGGTAACATGACGTTACCTTGATGTGATGAAAAGCAATATCCTCATATACACACACAGTACTTTATAGTCATACTCCACACATGCATATTGTCATGTAAAGATTGGATTCACACTTGCACTCCCACAAGGATGCCATCAGTATGGCGATGAGATCCCACACGTGTGCAGTAGCAAATGGTCTGTACTGTCACTACCATGCCTACATCGGATTTCACCATCATAATAATGG